ATTTATTTTCGCTTTTAGCCTAAAATAAGTCAAAATTTTAATTTTGTAGGAAAGTTAAAAAAGATTAGAATATTCATATAAATAACAAATATTTGTTATGAATAATATTTTTTATCAGTAAAATAACTTTTTACTCATGCTATTTGAATCTCAGAATCTATCATTAAAATGAATTTTTACAAATGATCTATTCTGCCTATTCAACTAGTTTCAAATCTATCCTGTCCATTCATCTAGTTTCAACTTTTGAGAGCTGCAAACTAGACAATGTCTTATCCTGAATCAGTCTGGTTTTAACATATTTCTTATTTGGGAAATGAATATGAAAAATATTATTCATAGATTGTTTGAAAAAGTAAATCTTTTTTTTTTAATTGTTTTTTTATTCATTCATATTTTCACTGTTGTGAAGAGATGCCATAGTTAAAATAGTTTAAGTTGATATTATATTAATGTTTATGATTAATATAAACCATAACCAATGTGGCTGTGGTATGGTAATATATAGGGTTTGCCTTGTAAGCAAGAAATTTCAAGTTCACGTCCCTGGAAAAAAACTTATTGTTCCAATATTTATTTAATTTTTGAATTTGTTTTAAAAATCATCACATTTTACAATATATTACTTTTATATAATTTTTTTTTTAATGAATTAACCTATTAAAGGCCAAGGAGGCGACTACAGTCAAGGAGACTTCTTTTTTTAAAAACAAGTTGAGTGCGATACACTCAACTTGCTTCTCCAGGTAGCCATCTTGTTCGTCAAAGTTCGTGTTTCGAAGTTAAAGAGTTAAGAGTGGGTTATAACCACAATTTGAAAGTAAAGAAAAAAAAGAAGTCTCCTTGACTGTAGTGGCTTCCTTGGCCTTGCAGTCTTTTCTGTTTAGCCAGCGCTCAAGCCTTTTCACAAAAACTTTGCCAGGTACATAAAAAAGAGCTAGCCAAAAAAAAAAAAGCTTTTTATTTTGAATTGCAACAAAATTTTTTGTTAATTTCTTCAACTTTTATGAAAAATAGCATTTTTACTAGTTTTTTAAAAAAATATACTATCTAGTATTTATTCAAAGCACGCTTTTCACTCTTTTTATTTTAATTTAAATAGCAGAAAAAAATTAGTTTTTCAATTTGTGCAGGCTAACTTAAAAATGAAAATCCTGTCAGTGCTTTTTCGTGCGCTGGCATTAAATTTCAAATGGAGAAGACTGGCCTTGGTGAGGTTAATTCATTAAAAAAAATACTTATTGGAATAGTAAGTTTTTAATCACAATTTTATTTAATTTAATCCATAAAAACTTTGTGTTTTACCTTTTACTTTTAAAGTATATATATATATATATATATATATATATATATATATATATATATATATATATTCATATATATATAGTCATATATATATATATATATATAGTCATACATTTTTATATTATATATAAAATTCTATTGCATAAAAAAAAAATTTATTTAAGATCAAGGACCAGCAAAGTCAACTTTTTAGGACTCAAATTTGACTGTAAGACAAATTTCATTTTTTGCATAGAATTTAGATCATATGTGTATATCAAATTTAACTGAAAGCCAAATTATATTTTTAAAAGATATTTGATTGAAAAATAAATTTTATAAAAACTTTTATAACTTTTTTTTTTTTAAGTTTTTTACTTTAGGCTCCTCAAGAAGACCTAAGAGTCTTGTCACAGAATATTGCGGAAGAGCATTTAATTATGAAGTTCATGCCTCCTTCCTTACTGATGGTGCAAAATATGCCCAGAGCTCACTTCACACACCTGGATCACTTGTTTCCAACGCAAGCACTCTAATAACTGCGCCACAAATGCAGTGTATTCATTTTTTATAGAGTAAAATTATTATTTTTTAGCTTGTAATTAACCATATTTCAAAACATGACAAATCACAAGTGAAACAAAGCAATTTTTTAATTTATAAAAAAAGTATAGGCTTATAAAAACCAACAATTTGTGAAACCATATATTGAATTTCTATTTCATATTCGGCATCAAAATAGAAGCCAAAGTTAACTTTGCCATTCAGTTTGTTTCAACTTTGTAATCTGAGATTTAATGAATATTCACTGGTCCTTATTTAAGATTGGTTTGACTTTGGATTTTCATTAGGATTTGTTTTCCCATTTCAAAACAATATATATTTCAAAATAGGAGATAAAGAGAGAATAGGAGCAATTTATAGCATACAACTAATCGCATGGTATTTATATACTTGTTGTAAAATGGAGTGATTTTAGATCAATTTTAACCAATTGATTTTAGGTAAAACACTGATTTGATGATGAAGCTTTTATCTTTTACTCGTCCCAAATGTTTGTTAATCAAAATTCTTAAGTAATAGAAATAGCTTAAGTTTAAAGTTATAGTTTAGCAACTCGGTTCTCTCTCTCTCATTACAACTGCTCTACCACTACACCACTACCTGCGGTAGTGGTGTAGTGGTAGAGCGCTTGCTTTATAAACAAGTGGTTCCGAGTTTGATACCCACCACGTCCCTGGTAGTACCGCGCTCAACTCATTTCTCCGCGCAGCGGCCTTGTTCGTCAAGGTTCGTGTTTCGGAGTTATAGAGTTGAGAGAGGGTTATAGCCACAAAATAAGTAGCCTCCTCGTCTGTAGTGGCCTTCTCGGCCTTGAGGAGGTGAAGTAAAATAAAAAAATTAAAAAAAAAAAAAAACTGTCATGTAGGTTAGTGATTGCATAAATATAAATTGATAATTTAATCTAGTTAGCTGGCAATTCATGATTTGAACCGTTTAGGTAGAAAATTTTGCAACTAAAAAAGCTTTTAGGAAAGTTTTATTTAAAAAATAAAACACTTAAGAAATATACTTTTTATTTGTAACTTTTGCAGATGCCATTCGATCATGAAATATCTGTTCAGCATTTCGGAATGTAAAAGACTTTGGAAACTGCCTGTGTATACCTATACTACTTGAAACAGGACGACTCTAAAAATTTAAAAGTTTAAATTTTATTTGGTTTAAATTTTTTGTTTAAATTTTTAGAATCTAAAAAATATAACTAAAACAAGTGTTCCTACAACAACTAATTCTCTGGAGACATCATCATCACGAAGTCTTTGAAAAAAAAAAAGGTTAAAATTGATATATAACATCAATATATATATATATATATATATATATATATATATATATATATATATATATATATATATATACATATAATATATATATATATATAAATATATATATATATGTATATATATATATATATATATATATATATATATATATATATATATATATATATATATATATATATATATACATATAATATATATATATATATAAATATATATATATATGTATGTATGTATGTATGTATGTATGTATAGTTAATAAAAGTTGCAATATTTTCAATGCATACATGTTTGGAAATGATAGTCTTTCTTGAAGAGAGATAGGGCGAATTGTCATCAGTTCCTTTAAATCATGGTCATAAGAAGTTGTTTGCCCAGCTGATGATTTCAAATAAATCTTAAAAAAAAATTAAAAAAAAAATCAGACAAATACAAGAACAAACTTTAACAACATTCAAATCTGAAGCAGTAAAATAAATTAAATCTATTTTTGAGAAGATAACTTTCAATCAGCTATAACTTCTCTAAAATATTTTGCCCATAACATTTCAGTATACTTAACAAAAATTGTATTTCTATCTTTTGTATAACTTTTAATATTAACTCTTTTACAATTTTTTTCGCATATTTCTAACAATTGAATTTTTGATAAATATTTGGGTTATGAACCATACCAACGCCATAAGGTATTTTCAAAGATTTATTTCACACCTTTTTTTTATTCTGAAAAATTCTTTACTTCTTCAAAAAGAGAGCTAACTAATGCTTAACTGTATTTTTTCCGTGTAAACATATCTTCCAACATGACATGTTTAAAGATATGTTTAAACATATACATATATTAAGTTTATTTATGTATTTATATACATACATATATATATATACATATAGAAATTTATGTATATATACATATATATATATATATATATATATATATATATATATATATATATATATTACACATATATATTTTTTCTATTATATATTTCTATTCATTATATTTTTCTATTATATATATATATATATATTTTATATATGCACATAGAAAAATAAGGTTATATATATATATATATATATATATATATATATATATATATATATATATATATATATATATATATATATATATAAATTAGTAAAAACATATATCTAATTTTTTCCTTCTACAAATCGTTTCACCATCAGTAGGTTCATCAGGGCTTCCTGATGAACCTACTGATGGTGAAACGATTTGTAGAAGAAAAAAATTAGATAAGTGTTTTTACTAATTTATTATTGCTCTGTTCAGGTTTAAGTTCTTTTTTATTTTAAGGTCTGAAAAAAAATTGTTTTTTTAAATTATTTGATAGATTGCCTGCCCAAACCAAACCCTCAGTCGATGTAGCAGCACTCCATTGCAATTCAGGCTATTTTTTAGTTGATGTAGCAACACTCCATTGCAAGTCAGACTATTTGTCAGTCGATGTAACAGCACTCCGTTGTGAATCAGGCTATTTATCAGTCAATGTAGCAGCACTCTGTTTTGAATCAGACTACTTTTCAGTCGATGTAGCAGCACTTTGTTGCGAGTCAGGCAATGTAGCAACACTATGCGCATGTTTTACAATTAAAAAATATTCTATATATATATATATATATATATATATATATATATATATATATATATATATATATATATATATATATATATATATATATATATATATCATACAACCAACTTAAAATTAAAAAAAAACAACTTAAAACCAGTAAAAATTAATGCCATGTTAAAAATTCATCTTCATTTGTATCAACAGCAAAAGAATGGTTTATTAATGATAAAGTTCAAGTGTCATTTGATGTTATTAATTTATATCCGTCAGTACCGCTTATTAAAGCAACTGTTACAATTATTGATATGCTAAACAAAGATAGAGATGAATTAATACAACAAACAAAATTATCTTTATTAGACATTCATAAACTAATTGATCTCTGTATTTGTGTTTTTTTTTTTATGGGAAGATAAAATATATATTTTAAAAATCTCTGGTCCAATAGGTCTATCCATAATGGTTGTCCTGCTAGAAGCATATCTACAGCATATTGAATTTAATGCTATTCAACAGACTTTGAACATCAATATTGCACCAAAAACTTATAAACATTATGTTGATGATAGCCATGCTAATTTTAATAATATTGATGACAAAATACATGCGAATACAAAAATGCTCAACACCAATTAAATTTATTAGATATTTGTATTTAAACCAATCACTCCCTTTACAAATATGAGTTTTCCATACACCATAAAGATGCAATTACAAACGTACTTATAAAACCAATATCATCTATTTCACCAAATACCACAGTTGGTATTTTTAAAGGTTTTTAGTTCAAACATACAAAACTTGTTTAGAACATAACATTCAAGATGAAATTAATTTTCTTATTAAGATTTTTACTGAAAATGGACATTCCTATAAACAGTATTCAGGTATTGCTAAAAACTTTAAATACTCCACAAATCTATCTTATTCTCAAAAAAATTTATACCAATAATCTTGTTATTTTACAATGGGTCCCAAAATTAAGCCTTGTACTTAGAAAAGAATTTCGTTAAGTCTGCATTAAAACAGTCTTCTGTTTTGGTAATCCCTTGATCAATATACTTTGCTAAAACAAGTCTAAACTGCCTCCGAATAGTCACCCAAGAATGTACCTACGTAGTTACACACGTGGTGCATGTTATATTGGGAAAACAAGAAAAAAGATTTCCACACAAATTCAAGAACATAAAATAATGTCACAAAAGCCAACTAGAAAACATCTGGAATAGTAGAACATTCACAACATTGTAATGGTAAAATAAACTGGAAGAACCCTAAAATGCTTTCTGTTATTTCCAACAACTACACAAGAAAAATTTGTGAGGCCATTGAAATACGTTTTGAACGGTGTATATGTTGTGCATACACTGTTCAAAACCTAAAGAAAACGTTTTAAATTGTGACAATGGCAATTTGGTAATGACTCACCATTGGAAACAGTTTTTGTAAAAAAATGTTGAATATCTGACGTTGCAATGACATCATTTGGTTACGCTCATAATAATTTCTTAAACAGTTTTATCAGTTTGATAATGGCTCTCACTATATGAGCCAAAATATTACTTAAAGAAATAAATAAATAGTATGATACTGTATATGATGTTTTAATGCTTATAATATTATGAAACATAATATTGAAGACTTTAAGCAAAACTCAAAAATGAAAATCATTTTCTATAAAAATAATTTTTCCAGATATAAATGCTTAAAAACCAATGTTTTTAAGCTGAAAATAAAAAAGCCAATATTTTCAAGTTTTTAAAGAAAAAAATTTTTAAACATGTTTTTTATGTAAATTGATTATTATTTTTGAAGTTTTTATATAATTTCGCTTCTTTTGAGTACCAGGTTAACATACTATAGAAGAACTTTTTTTTTTTAAATATTAAGGACCTGTCAAATTTTTAAGGGTCTTGAGCTACCCCTAAAAATATTTTTTGTTCAAAAAAAATTTTAAACCTAGTGATTTAGTATTATATAGAAAAAATTAAAAGGGTAAGAGCAGGTTTTTTTCAAAAATGTTGTTTTAAGAGCCACTCTAATATATATATATATATATATATATATATATATATATATATATTATATATATATATATATATATATATATATATATATATATATATATATATATATATATATATATATATATCAGCGCTTGAATCAAATCATCCGATCAACGATCAATGATCGACTATTTTTAGGGAAATTTCAAAAAATCCAAGGGAAAATAACATGTTTTTGTGAAAAAATTACATTTGATCAACAAGTTTTTGAACTTGTCAATCAAATGTAAAACTATTTAGAGCACTGATATATATAGAGATATATAGATATATATACATATATATATATATATATATACACATATATATACATATACATATATATATATACATATGTATATAAATATATATATATATATATATATATACATATATATATATATATATATATACATACATATATATACATACATATATACAAGTACATATAGAGGTTTGGCATGGCATGCGAGAGCCAATTTCTATATATGCACATTGAAAATTAAACTTATATATATATATATATATACTTTAGTACTACATACATTGATTGGACAGCGCCAAAAATAAAACAAAATGCTGCCTGCAATATTTATTGAAATTAATTGTGGTTTCACAACGACAAAGCAAATTAAGCTCCGGTTCCCAAAGATATATTCAGAATTATATATTTTTATATTATAAAATAATCATTGTGTATTAATTAATTATTATTAAAAATAATATATTTAATTTACTTTAAATTTTAATAAATCGTTGCCGCTTTCATGTTAAGAATATTCTTTTGAATATATATTTTTTTTTCACTGGTGGGCATTAAAGGCAATTATTAAAGTAATATAGTGATTTTTAAATTAATATAGCAATATTCTACCTCTAATTATTACCTAAATTCTGTTTGACGTCCTTTATGGACGAGCCCTTACACCATTATGTAATAAATTGTGTCATCAAAAGAAATGTTTTAAAAATAGAAAAATAAAAAAGATTTTGAAATTAGTAAACACAAGCTTGTAAATTTCATATTTTACATTCATTACGAGTTCAATTTTATAATTAATATAAACTTTCTTTATACATCAATCGCATTGCTACAATTAAAAGTTACAATTAAAAAGTCTCAGCAAAAACAACAACAAATGTCTTTTAATTTTTTTTTTTTTTTTTTTATTTTAATTCACCTCCTCAAGGCCGAGAAGGCCACTACAGACGAGAAGGCTACTTATTTGTGGCTATAACCCTCTCTCAACTCTATAACTCCGAAACAAGAACCTTGACGAACAAGGCTGCTGTGCGGAGAAACAAGTTGAGCGCGGTACTACCAGGGACGTGGTAAGGATCGAACTGGGAACCACTCGTTTATGAAGCGAGCGCTCTACCACTACACCACTACCGCATTACAAAAAAATTACAAAAGATCAGAAGCAATTGCACTCTATTGTGGCAAGGAAGCATACCAATAATTATTTTTTCATGCATAGTCATAAAATGTTGTTATGACTATGATTCAATGAAACATTTAAATTAATTTTTATGTTTTAAATTTAAACAAGCAGTGAATCTTGTTTTGTATAAAAAATAAACTTTTATTTTTTATACAAAACAAATTTAAGTTAAACACACGACTACGTTAATAAAATACATCATTTTTTTGAGTTAAATCATTTTTTAAAAGACGCCAAAGAATTACTTTTTTAAAAATTAAACAGCCTGGTTTTTATCATTCATATTAAAATGTTGCAGTTAGTTAATAATTTAAATTTATAGTTTAGTATTTTTTTCAAAATAAATTAAACATAAGAAACTGTTTGTTATTTTTGTCCGATGGTTTTTATAAATTTCAAACAAATATTTAAACTTTTAGAACCTCTTTTAAATTTATTTTATAAAAATTTTAACATAATAGTTATTTTGATGCTTATAGAAACCAGTACTTTTTATTACACTATTAAATTTGAGTTGTTACATAAAGTTTGTTTTCGCGCTAAAAATTTTCGCTATAAAGAGTGTTTATAAAATTGATCTAAGAAAAAGTTTGAAAAAATTTATAAAAAATTACATATTTATATAAATGTAATTACGTATGATATACTTTGATAATTTATATAAAATGGATTCATTTTAAACATTAATAAAGTAATAAGTAAACTTAATAACTGATGTATTTAATATATTTACATAGTAATTGATGTATTTAATAACTTTGTATTTTTATTATACATTTTTATTACATATTTAATTATGTATTTAATAATTACATAATTTACTTATTTAATATATTTACATAATAACTTATGTATTTAATAATTTACAAAGCATTTCGCGTGATATAGTAATTTTTAATAAACGTAATATAAATATATTTTTCTTTTCAAATTTTCGTTTTTTGAGCTTAGATTTTTTCTTTCTCTTTAAGATTTTCTTTTTGTTAGACAATTTATCTTACAAACTTTATTTTTATTTTAAACGCATTTTGAAACACCTAGAATTGTCAAATTAAATTGCCTGGTCAAGTTGTAAAAATAAAATATTTTAAGCGTGTTCAAGAATGGCGTTTGATCGCACTTCTTTAATTTTTATCGGACATGTCCGGCAAACTTGAATCTTTACTGGACAAATTGTCCAGTAGAAAAAAGTTCCTTATTTTGAGCCCTGCATATATATACATAAATATATATATATATATATATATATATATATATATATATATACATATATATATATATATATATATATATATATATATACATATATATATATATATATATATATATATATATATATATATATATATATATATATACATATATATATATATATATATATATATATATATATATATATATATATATATATATATATATATATATATATATATATATATATATATATATATATATACATATATATATATATATATATATATATATATATATATATATATATATATATATATATATATATATATATATATATATATATATATATATATATATATATATATATATATATATATATATATATATATATATATATATATATATATATAGTAATTTGAGTTACTTTTTACAAAAATTTTAATAACTGTACTTTTTTATTGAATCAAGTAGAATATGCTTTAATATTAATCCTATTATTTGCGCTTACCAATTTTTAAAATGTCTCCTCGAAATTACCATTAAATACTTTAAATACGTCAAACAGTTAATAAATATTTTTAAATCTATGGAATAATTTTAAAACCTAACAAACCCCCGTAAAATAATTATTTAAGTTAAAAATCTAAAACTAAAAGAAAGTATTTTTGTTCAATTTTATCCACAACTTTGCTATTGCTGAATAATTTTATTAAAATGTTAGCTTAAAAAGATTTAAACTTTTTTTTTAATCTGAATTTTTTCTACTTGTAAATAATGAGCATATTTAATTTTTTTGTAATTCAAACTTTTATATCAACTGCGTGCGGTTTTTAAAATACTTTATTAAATGTTAAAATAATAGTAAATTACTTCATTAAAATTCCGCTCAAAAATATCTTTAAATATACTCAAACAAAAAATTTTTTGCTCGATGCAAATAGCCCTAACTACACGCAAAATCGCTCTTGGACGACGTAAAATTTACATCGCCCGACGCTTTATCGCAAGGCCTGATATATGCAAATAGTATTGCGTACAAAGGTAAGCTATCTGACATCATACTGAAATAGCCTGCTACTGGGGGCTTCAGTACATACATCGACTGACAAATAACCTGACTCGCAGTAGAGTGCTGCTACATCGACTGAAGATTTGGGATGGGGAAGCTATCGTTTCATCTATCATTCTTGGTTTTTTTTCTTCTTTTTCTAAAAAAGCCATATGGCTTAAGGTAAGCAAAAAAAGTGAGCAAATGCTTATCAAAACATGCTTTAGTAAGTGTGTGTATATATATACATATATATATATATATGCATATATATTTTATATATATAAAATTAATACCGATGATCTTGAAGGCATTTCATGAAATGTTTCTTCATTTTCTTCATCGTATTCATCATATTGTGATAAATAGTTTGAACCATATCCTGAAAAAAAATATCTTGTCTTTTTATTTAATCTTTTTACAAAACCTTTCAAAAAAAGAACTTACCAGTATAAGCCGGTATTTATTAATTAAAAAAATTTAGCCAAATTGTTAGAAAACTTTATTAAAAGAATTTACAGATTTTTCTTTTTGTATTTCCTATTTATTTTACTTTTCAGTATTTAAAATATTTAAGTAGTAACTAGAGATATAACAATTGCACATTAATGGCCAATGCCGATAGGATAGGAAAAGACATTGGTTAGTCTTTTCCTATCCCATCGGCATTGGCCATTAATGTGCAATTGTTATATCTCTAGTTACTACTTAAATATACCAATAAATTAACTAATTATCAATACCAATTAACTAATTATCAAAATTTTTTAAATTATAAAACCATACAATTTTAAATCATGTAAACTTTTTCATGGAAGAAGAAAAAATCTGGATAACACTGGTAAATACTTGGACTCAAATTAGAGCCAAATCTTTATTTTAAAGGGATCCCCAAGTGCCGAAACAAGTTGTGTTCATATCATAGATAAATAAGTTAAAAGTTAATTAAATTTTCCCAAACAAATTATTGAATGTGATATTAAAAGCATTTGTTGTTACCATTATAGTTCTAGTTGATAGCCTAATTTTAGGCTCTCAAATCTGCATAGTTTTATCTGTTAAAAAAACATCTGGTTTCAATAAAAATTGTTTTTGCTCACCGCAGAGTTTTTTAAACTCAGTTTAGTTTTACACGATCAGATTGGGTTTTCTCTTCATATGTGGTGGTTATAAAAAATGTTTACTGTAGCATGTTTTTTTTTTTTTTTCCAATTATGGTTAAATGTTTGAGAAGAAACTAGCATAATAAAAGGTCCTTGTTAGCTGAAATTTGCCAACTGTCAACAATAGATCCCATTTTGCCGACTCAAAAATGTCTCAACGACTCAACTGTCAACAATAGATCCCAATATGCCAATATGAATATTTTTCTTAAAAAAACAAGTAATCATTTTTTTTATATACAACAAGTACAATGTAATCCAACATTGTACTTAGTGTTGTTTAAAATCCAAATTTTTTTAATAAATTCAGGAAACCATTAAAAAAATGATCTTATATATATTTTTAACTTGAGTTTATAATAATTTATATTTCAATTCAAGAAACCATCTTTAAAATGATCTAATATATATTTTTCAGATATATATAAAATTGATATTAAAAACTTGAATCTTATACTTTCACTTAACCACCAAAGGGGAAACCCCTACATTTTAAACTTGATTTAAGCTTTTTGATTGAAACTTTTTGTATTGACGTCAAATATAAGCGAATTAATCAGACCGGATTTTAAAAATAAAAATAGTCAAAGAGCCAGAACTTTCCTTCATGAGAAACAAAATGGCGTTAAAAATTAAGAAGTTTTTTTATTAATATCACATTCAATAATTGGTTTGGGAAGGTTTAATTAATTTTTAACTTATTTTCTAATGTTTATCTATGATATGAACACAGCTTTTCTTGGCACTTGGGGATCCCTTTAAAAGATATTAGTAAAGCTCAGTTAAAATAATATACATTTTCTAGTTTTTTTAACTATAAAAAGAAAAATTTCAAAAAATAAATTAAAACAATTAAAAAAAAAACACATTTTATTTCAATTTTAAAAAGAAAATGGTATTAAGTTATGCAGTTTACTTAGAATTTTTTACTCTTTATAAAAACGATAAAAAAAATTAACAACATGAAATATATACATTTTCTCAAAAAAAAAAAAAAAGACTTTAAAATCAAATACCAAGAATATAATAACTTTAAGATTCGAAAAAAAACACCAATAGCAACAATTGTAACAATGTTTAGTATTTAAAATTGTCTTTATGAATATTGCAATGCAAAAGCATAAGCATTTCAGGGGCAACCTATTTTGTCATGGAGAATAAATTTGTCCTCCACAACTGAACAACCATTCAGTTTCAACAGAAGATGAAGAGCATGATAAAATAAAACAGCACAAAATAAAATTATTCTAAAAACAACATTATAGTAATAAAAGTATAATTACATTCAGCTGTTAAATTAAAGCTTATAAATATTATCTTAAGAACAAACAAATTTGCCTGTAAACAAAATATATATAACAAATTTCTCAAAAAAAATTCTAAGTAATGCATAAAGTTTAAGGTGAGTTTCCACTCATCCGTTTTTCTACGGGAAAGGGAAATGGAAAGGAAAAATAATTACGTGAGCATGCGCAGTTTTCTTTTGGACAAATAAAAACTTTTATTACGCATGCTCGCGTGATTATTTTTTCCTTTCCTATCCCGTTCCCATTGAAAAACGGATGAGTGGAAACTCGCCTTTAGTTTATTTATTATCATAATGCAGGATAAAAATATTAAAATGTCATTGGTTGGAAAATTGGTAAGTTAGTAAAAAAAGGCTGATGCCAATACAATTCCGATTAATCAAAAAGTGGCAGATTAACTGATACTGTTTAAAAATTTATTAAGTTTACGTGAATTATTCAATAAAGACTTAATTTCATCCCAAAATGTTCTGTTGCTGCTTCCATGAGTAGTTTTCTCTATAATATAATTAAAAATGTTGCTGCAACTAAATCTGTTAAGTAAATCATTGCCATTACAATCAGAATCTGAATAATTCATCCAAAGAAAGATTCAGAACAAGTTCTTTACAATCATTTGTTTTATCGCTTTTATTTTCTTTGTTTGATTTGTCACTGGAACATATTTGGCTATCGCAGGTATTTGATTTTTTGTAGAAAACATTGGTTACGGCCAGATGAATACCATGATTGTGACACAGTTGATTCTCTACAGGATATATTTAGAATTTATTAATTTAATTATCAATCCATAATTTTAGAATACTGCAGCACCAGTGTGAGTAGACGCGATTACATATGTAAAATCTAACACAAAGTCTGTCAATTTTTGTTTCCCTAATTCTTTAGTTGTGAAAGCATCACAGGAACCACCAATGTCAGTCCATTCATCTTTATTAAGTTTGAAATATGGAAATTATAAAAACCGGTACTGTGAAAAAGTTTTGGTACGGTTTTTGAAAATCTCGGTATTGAAAACCATTGAAACTCAAATTATTATCATTACTTTCTTTACACATGAAACTTCTTAAGAATATTTCATATTAAAGAAAGGAAAGAAAATGCATCTTTTTTTCTTTAAACAAAACTTTTCTAAAAAGAACATTATTTCAAAAATATTACCTTTTCTGGATTTCGCTTTGGCATAAAGTTTTATCAAATCAGTAAAAATGTAAACCAACTATAAAAAAAATGTCAAAAATGTACACTTAATAAAATTATTGACATAAATATATTACATTTGAAATTATAAAAATAAAGCAATAATTTGTTAAAACTATTCATAGATTTAAATTTTGAATAAGACTTCTTATGCTGTTACAGAAATGAGATAGGGTTTAGGTGAAGAAAATGTTTTTGTTTAAACTTATATATTTCAATTTGAATTTAAATCTTTAATTTATTTAACTCTATTAGTTTAAATTGTAAAGTAACTTTATTTTAACTCCTAAAACTCATAGAAACAATTAGATTATTTAACAATAAGTTTTTTTAAGAACAATTAGATTATTTAATAAGATTTTTTAAGAACAATTAGATTACTTAACAATAAGATTTTTTAAGAAGATTACTTTATTCCACACTTTATCAAAACATTCACTGATGATTCTGTCATGAATTGAAGCAGCTGGAGCAACTGGAGGAATGGCTTCTTTATAATATTTTTTTTCGTCTAAGCCTATTGTTTGAACATCACTAAAAAAATAACATAACTGAAAAATAAAAAATATATTCTAACAAGTTGTATATGATAAATAATAATCTATTACATTACTGGTCCAAACATAAAAAGTCAGGGAAAAATGTCCTCTTCAGTTGTTAACTGTTAACATGTATTTAAACATACATATATAAACATAACAACAAAACAAAACACAGCACAATAACTGTTTGTGTCGTTACTTTTAAATGCTGCTGTATCATAAAACCAAATAAATAGATAAAACAGTCTTACATAGTTGAACAATCATATGCTATAAATTCTTCAATATCACCATTGGCTGCAAATATTTCTTCCTCCAAATACAAATAGGAAGCTT